ATATTAAATTTAATTTAATTTTTCAACTTTCAAGAGTTGTTTTTGATTTCTTAAATTCATTTTGTACATAGAATGATTTAATGTAATATAATTATATTTAAGAGATAATTTTTTTTAATTTGAAGAAAAAATTAGTTGCTTTGTGTATTTGTTTTTTTTTTTGTTAGTGAGAAAAAACGTTTCAAAAGAATTCGTCAAAATTCAAATGACACTCACTGAATCTTTAAAATTTAGTATGTAAATTTCTTTCGAAGAGAAAAGTACGAAGGAATTTTGTTATGTCTCATAGACATTGTGTAGTAGGTAAGTTTTAATATAAATTATTCTTTTATTATTAATTATTATTGTTAATAAATATTGTTGTTAGTTTTTTCAGGAAAATGAAAATTCTTTTTAAAAAATTTATTAACTGAAACTTTTACTGAATAAAAATTGTGTTTATTACTATTATTTAATTTCTTAAAAATGTTAATACTGTTACACATTGGAAAATGAAATTTGAGAAAAATAATATTAAAGAATTTTTCTCTTTTTGTCCTTAAATTTTGGTCAAAAACAAACAACTTTTCCTTTAGACACTTTTCTGTAGAACAAAAATCAAAAAAGTTATCACACTAAATCCAAAAAAGGACAATAATGTGTGATTTCTTGCCTATGAATTTTTTAAACTTTGGTATCTTTTTTAATTTTAATAAATTATGTTTTTCTCTTTTTTGTCCTGAAATTTTAGGTCAAAACAAACAACTTTTCCTTTAGACACTTTTCTGTAGAACAAAAACTAAAAAAGTTATCACACTAGATCCAAAAAAGGACAAAAATGTGTGATTTCTTGCCTATGAAATTTTTAAACTTTGGTATCTTTTTAAAATTTCAATAAATTATGTTTTTTATGAAAAATTTCGTGTGACTGAAAATATATTTTACTACTCATATAATTTTTTTTCAAAAGTTTCGAAATAACGACCGACTGAACTTAGTTTTGCACTACTGGCAAGAAACTTTCAAGGCTCTAAATCATTCTGCCTGGCGAAAATGTCCCTTTTTTACTCAAACACGAAAATCACAGGAGATTATTCAACTAATTTAGAATTCAAAAATTAAACCAATTTTAGTAAATTCAGAATCAAAAAGAAAACTTCTTGCTTTGAAGCATGGTAAAATAATTAATTAATTAATTTATTTATTTATTTATTTATTTTTAGAAGGTTTTATTTATTTTATTTTTATAGTAGAATTATTTATGAAAAAAATTTCGTCTGTCTAAAGCTATGTTTTACTACTATTATAATAACTTTCAAAAATTGGTAAATTTTTTGGTTAAAAATTTTATTATTGAATAATTTAAACATCGATTTTTAACCAATCTTTCCTACTGATTTGACAAATAAAATAATTCATGTCTGACTCAAACCGTTTTTACTACTGATTCAATAAGTGAAGGAATCTATTTTAAAAAACTACTTATGACTAGAAATATTTTTTACTACTAGTGCAATGGTTAAAAAAAATATTGAACAATTCTTTTTACTAGTTTAGAAAAAACACGTCTGGTTATAAAAGTCTTCAATCACTAATGTACTAATTATTATTAAACATTATATTTTGATACTTTATTGTTACGATTATCAGGATTATTCATGTCAGACTTAAAGTAATTTTTACTACTGATTTTTTAAGTGAAGGAATTAATTAAAAAATAAACTTCTGCAGACTAAAAACTTTTTTACTACTAGTATAATAATTTCTAGAAGAAATCTTGAAATTTCACTAGAAAATAATTACAACGTCTGACTGACTTTTCTACTGATTGTCAAAAAAAAAAAATTTTTTTAAATTACCTTATTATTGGTACAATAATTTTAAAGATTTTGAAAAGTTTTGTCTGACCATTCATTGTATTAACTACTGATTATTAAAAATCGTTTTTGTCTGACTTCAAACGAATTTTACTACTGAGGATAATTTATATCTGACATTAAACCACTTTTTACTATTAATTCTTGAAACAGGAGAATTGCTTTTTGAAAACTTCGTCTGACATGAACTGGTTTTTACTACTAGTATAATAATTTTAAAAAAATTGTAAATAAATGTTAATAAAAGTTTTTATGACTATAAATAATTAAAATGTCAGAAGTTTAACTAAATTTTTTAGATTCCTGAAGTTAACGTCGGAAAAGTATTTATCGCAAAAATAAAAAGAATAACATTATTTTTTTAATGTACGTCTCATTACAAAAGACTTTGACTACTAATGTCTGACTTAAACCACTTTTTACTACTGATTCATGAAATGAATAATTTATTTTAGAATACTTCGTCTCATCTCAATTTTATTTAGTTTTTATTTTATTTTATTTATTTTTTTAAGCCACTAATAATTTAAAGGAGTTTCAATAGTTACGTCTGACTATTCATAATGTTTACTACTGAAATTTATATTCGTACTAAATTATTAGAATTTTAAATAAATTCTAAATTTAGTTAGTACTATTTTAGCACTTTATTAGTACTATATATTTGTATTAGTAGCAACAATTGGTTAGCGCATGACTGCTTACTCACTTTTTTAAATAAAATTAGCAATTTTAAAAATAATAGAACGTAAAAATTTTTAATTTAAAAAAAAGTATTTTTTCTATAAAAATAAAATATGAACTGGAATATAAAGTTTTAATATTATTATAATTATAATAATCATGTATTCTGACATAGGGAATTCAGGAAAAAGTTAGGAATTTTGATTAAAAGTATCGAAAAAAATTTAATTTTTATAATTCATGAGAAAATTCTGGATTTTTGTGTCTTTTTTCTTTGACTCATAAACTATAAAATTACCACGAATTTCAATACAAAACCTTCAATTTTTTTAATTTCTGACAAAAAAGTTTTTTTAAATAATTTAAATCTTGAACAACTATCATAAAATAAATAAACTATTTAATGAAAAATTTTACTTAAATATTATAAAATTAATTCAATTTTAAAAGAGTTGCATTTACAATTTTCATAAATAAATGAACTTCAAACGGTTTTAATTTGAAATTTTATAAAATTTCAATGTCGAATGAATTAAATTAGAAATTTTAATAAACTTAGATTTTTGAAAAATTTTAATAATTCAAAACCTTCTAAAATTAGTTAAATTTGTCAATATATATTTAATTAATTATTAAAAATAATGAATTTATAGAAAAAATTTAGTTAAAAACACTAAAATAATTGAATTTTGAAGAAGTTACAAATTGTTGCAGAAATTCAATTATTTTCAAAAGTAATAAAATTCTTATCACAAAATTCAATATGTTCAAAATTTTCAAAAAATCTCGACAAATTCCCAATTATTATCTTTCTAAATAAAAAAATTCTTCTTCAAAAATCAATTATTTTCAAAGATTTTAATAAAATTCTTGTCAAAAATTAAATTATTCTCAAAAATTATCCTCATTCAAATGATTTTCAATATCTACTATTTTATTAAAATTATCCAAAAGAATTCAATTATTTGAAAACAATTTTAATAAAATTGTACGCAAACATTTAATTATTTTCATAAATAATAAAAATTTCACAGAAATTCAAATATTTACAAATTTTTTGTAAGTTTCTTCCCAATAATTCAATTATTTTCAGAAATAATAAAACTCATTGGAGAATTTCAATTATTTTTAATACAATTTTAATCGAATTCCTTGAAAAATGTAAGTATTCTAAAAAATTTGATTAAAATTCGTCAAAAGAATTCAGTTATTTAAAAATTTGTTAATAAAATTCTTTATAAGAATTAAATTCTAAGAAACATTCAATTATTCAATAAATAATTTATTTTTATATTTAAATAATTGAATTCTTGTATAATTTTCTAATAAAAATTGCTTTGAAAATGAATTTTAGTTTAAATTTTAGATAATAATAATTAAATATTTAAAAAAGAAATTATTGTTTTCGAATAATTTTGCAATTAAAGATATTCGTCAATAAATTTAACAGATAATTTTTTTGAGTAAAATTATTTTCTTTATTTTCTAAAAATTAAAAAATTTCCAATTTCATTTTAATTAAAATTTGTAACTGGCAAATAGAATTAATAAACATTTAAAAATTTGGTAATGAAATTTTTTATAAGTATTAAATTTTAAGAAACATTCAATTATATAATTTACTTTTGTATTTAAATAATTGAATTCTCATAGAATTTTCTAATAAAAATTAATTTAAACATGAATTTTAGTTAAAATTTTAGATAATAATTGAATAAGAAAATAATTTTGCAATTAAAGAAATTTATAAATAAATGTAACAGAACATTCTTTGAGTTATAAATTTTTTCCTATACTTTCTAAAAATTAAACAATTTTTATTTTCAATTAAAATTTGTAATTGACAAATAGAATTTACGAACATTTCTTTTTTCCTTTATTTTTAAAAAATTGAATTTTATTGAATCAATTGAAATTAAGAAATAGAATTGATGCAAATTATTTCCTTATGAAAATTGAAAATTTTCTACAAAAAATATTAAGAAACGGGAATATATATAATGTTTTTCATTCTAATAGAAAAAAAATGAGTTTATAAACAATATTGTTATTGAGAAATAAAAATTATGCGTATATTTTCTACTTCTTAATAAAAATTTTTTAACAATTAGCAATTTTCTATTATTTTTTTTATAAATAAAAAAAGAATAATTTGCATAATAATTATTTCTAATATTATTTTATTATAAATCAGGAAAAAATACCTTATTTTCAATTTGTCAAACAATACGGAGATTAATATATTTAATTTTGGTACTAAGAATTAGTACCTACTAATTTTATTTATTTATTATTAATTTATTAATTTATTATTATTTTTTATTTTATTTATTACGTACTAATTTTGGTAGGTAATAAAAAAAAATTACGGAAATCTTGTTTTCTTATTATTATTATTATTATTATTATTATTATTATTATTATTATTATTAGTAAAATAAAAAGCTCTGAATTACGTACTTAATGAACATATAGACGCCAGTTGTTTCCATAGATCGGGCAACAGCTTTCCAACTCGCAATAATTGTGTACTTTTGCCTCGCGGAAAGGGGAAGTCGCGGATCCGTGGCTGCTGGCGGTGGCGGACTATCGCGGCCAGTTTGATTCTGAGTTGTCGAGGACGCCAATTTACTAAGCTTGCAACCCATTGTGAATTAATGCCCCTTCTATTTTTCTTTTCACATTTACTGCCGAGCTTTTAACACCCCCCGAACAAATTTTCCAATGCCAAAAGTCCTCTTGACGTGTTGTCTGCCTCTCCTTTTTCTTCTTACATGGCGAAAAAATTATTTTTCTCTATACCATATATAAATATACATTCACCTATATATACAGTAAATTCAGTCTTCATGCACTTTATCCTTCACATAGTCCACTTGAGGGCAAAGTATCTTTTTTCGTTTAAACGACATATTTCGAATAGTTTTCGAAATTTATTTTCGAATATATTTATTCCTTTTTCTGTAACTTATTTTAAAAACTTAGCACATTGTTTTTGTATTTTTTTTTTAATTTGTATTTTAATTATTTTGTGTTCTTTTTATTTTGTAATGTTCAATTTGGTATTTTCTCTTCTTTGGTATTTTTTCTTCTTTAGTATCTTTTCTTTTTTGGTATTTTTTCTTTGGTATCTTTTCTTCCTTGGTATTTTTTATTTGGTATTTTTTCTTCTTCAGTATTTTTAATTTGGTTGTTTTTAATATTTTGTCTTTTTCTTATTTTGTGTTTCTTTCTATTTTGTATTTTTAATTTGTTTTGTTTCTATTTTTCGTCTTTTTTTCTGTTGTCCTTCTTTTCTATTTTGTATTCTTTCAAAGCATTTTGTTTATATATTTGTCTCCTCGTATTTTATTATTATTATTATTTTTTTTCTTCTTCAAGTTCCCAGTTTCCTTATATGAGAAAGCGCATCCTGCACATATTCGATTACTGATTTAATTAATTCTCGAAGCAGCACACTCACATGAAGTTTCCGGAGTGGATGCAGGATTCCGGAATTTCAGGTTATTGAATTTTGTTGAGATTCTCCTGGGTTTTCTACACAGATTTGTGGAAGCTTTGAGTTATAAATAGAAAATATATACGCACAAGGAATGCTAATTTTTTTCCCTTACACTTTTTTTTCTATTAGGAAAATTTGCAAAAAAAAAAAATAAAGTTCGAAAGTATTTTAAATTGCAGGAGTTTTCAAAACTAGTGGTGAATTGTAGAGAATGAATTTTTTTCTATCGAAAGTATATTGTTTATTTTCAATAACATTTTTAATTTTTCTATTTCATTTGCATGCATTTATTTTGTTATTTTAATTATCTTGAAAAATAAATAAAATAGTTTTAAAAATTTATTTATTTATTTATTTATTCAGAAAAAAATAAGTTCCTAAAGCTAACAAGCCCTCAAAGGAACAGTACATAGTAATAATGGTAGTTTTAAAAAAAAATATGTAATATAACTCGTGCTTATAAAAATTGAATAAATAAAGAAAAATAAATAAAAAATAAATAAAATACATAAATAAAAATTATTTTATTTCCTTTCAATAAAATTTTCAATGTTTACGTTTCATTTGACAAATAAATAAAATACACATTAACAAAATTACAACACTGGAAAATGTTAATTAAAATGAACGAAATTTGCAATTAAAAATTATAATTTTAATTAACTTAAAATTTCAGTGAATAAAATTTAGTTTCCAACGATATGTCATGTTCATTTAATGATATAATGTTTATTACAAAAATAATTAACGTTTATTTGTTAAATAAGCGGAAAATCAATTTTAACACACTAAGGAACAAAATATAATATTGAATTTATTAAATTTTATTTTATTCTGTATTGAAAAAGGGCAATGAAATTAAACTAACGCGAAGGCAGAAGTTATTTCAACCAATTTTCATCATTAGTTCCGCAATTTTCAAATAAATTTAATTATTAAAAATGATCAATTTATTTTAATTCGTGGATAAATATTTTAATTACAAGCATAACAGAATTATTTTCAAATACTCGGTTATAAAAATAAAAAACTATTCAAAATACTGTGAGAATTTATTTACTGCAAATAAATAATAATAAATAAAATTTATTGTAAAAATACAACCAATGTTAAAATTAAAAAATAGGATAAAAATAAAGAAAATAAAATAAAAATCTGAATAATAAGACAAATAATAATAATAATAAAAATAAAAAAATAGTAAATTAGTAAAGCATAAGTTATAAAATAAAAATTTGTCATTAATTACAATTGAATAATTAATATTGTTTATGAAAATAAAAAAACAATGTTAAATCACATAAATATTTAATGTTTGGCTTTTAAAAATTACAAAAAAAAACAAAAGTTTCTATCCCGAAGCAAATAATGCTCTTAACTACTTTTATGTAAATTTTTAATTTAGTTGAATTGCGAAAATTGGAAATGATTATTTGCTGAATATATACTTGATAAAAACACACACACACTTTCATTGTACAATTGGATTTTAGACACTAGAGTGTGTGCATTTTGAACATAAAATATTAATTAAAACTCGACAAGTTAATTCATGCGATTATTACGTGATTAAAAAGTTCCATTCTCCTGTAAAACGATAGATAATCTCACCAATTTCTGCAAGTTCATGGGATTTATAAAATTTTCCAACTTTTTTCATTTACCTTTTTTCAACCATAAAATTCAATTTTATTATCAACATTACAAAAAAAAAAATGAAATGAGAAAAAGTTGACTACACTTTAATTAAAGGAATGTGATTTTTAAATTTTTATTTCGATAATTTTTCTCTTTTTTTTCCTTTTTGAATTTTTCCGCTGTTTTTTCATTTTTTGGAAAATTAATTCAAAACACTCGACTGATTCGGTAATGTACTTTAATGGTAATTGAGGGAATTTTTTATTAATGCAAACAGATTTTTCATTTGGATAAGTGCGCGTACTAATTTTCATTATGTAAGGACTACAGGAAAAAAGCTCAATTTTCTTTTATGAAAGTTGAAAATATAATTTTAAGAGAACAGTAAATTTATGTATCTGTGACAATAAATTAGTGTCAAAATATTTATTTCAAAGTGGAAAATAAATTCATTGTCTTTGGAAATAGAAAAATTATACGAAATTTTGATGAGAATGAAATTTTTTTTATGATAATTGTAAATTTATATGTTTTGATTACTTATTTATAATTAATTAACTACAATTATAATTCCTTTAATTACAATTATAATTATTAAATAAAAAAATTCTAGTTATAATAAATTAATTCTAATTATAATAAAATATATTAAATAAAATTATAATTATAACTATAATAAAAAATACTAAACAAAATTATAATTGTTAATTATAATAAAAAATAATAATCAGAATAAACCAAATTTGAATTATATTTCAAGCTGTGGTATTTATTTACGCTTTTTATTGTTTACTTATTTTTTTATACACTCTCCCCACGGTCCAAAACTGAACCATAAATCGAAAATTTTATTTACTCTCAATCAAGGACCGACAGTTACAATAATAAATTTGTTTCATTTCTCCTATTTTTTATTTTTTATTGAAAAAATTTGTTTTAAATAAATTATTATTATTTTATTCCTATTTTCTGTTGTTTTTGTTAATTTTATTTATTTATTTTTTGGTATTTATTTGATTTGATTTATTTAAATAAATAAACAGTTTCCAGGTAAAACATGTTTTCCTTGTTTTATTTAGTTCAACTTTAGTTCGTTGAAAATGTACAAATAAAATATAAATGAATAAAATAATCGTTAACCCCTTCACAGTCAAGTGAAAATAAAGTTTTTGTGCCATAAGTGTTCAAAAAAATTTTTTTTTTTAAAATCATGATATTGTCATATTATATGTTTTTAAGGTCTCTAATTCAAAATCCGTGGTCAAAAAGTCAAAATTCAAAATGGCGGCTTCAAAATATCGACCAAAAAAAATTTTAAAGTTAAGGAATTCGTTAACTTAAAAATTTTTTTTTGTCTCCTTTTTAAGGCTGCTATTTTAAATTTTGAATTTTTGACCACGGATTTGAAATCAGCGACCTCGAAAACCCCCGAGTAGGCATTTTAAGGCAATTTCAGACAGATTCGTTAAATTAAAAATTTTTTTGGGCGCCATTTTGAAGCCGCCATTTTGAATTTTGAATTTTCGACAACGGATTTGGATTCAGCGACCCCGAAAACCCCCGAGTAAGGATTTTTAACCAGATTCGTTAACTTTTAAATGTCTTTTCTTTCGATGGCCCTATAGAGCCCATGGACATACAGGGCACGACATTTTTATGGCTCTATAGAGCCCACTGACAGTGAAGGGGTTAAACAAAATTGTTTATCAAAAGTCAAAACATTATAAACTTTTTGCTATTGATAATTTTGTTATTATTTATTATTTCAAATTTATTTATAGATTTTATCATTGAAGCGCAAAATATTTTTTATTATTATAATTAAGTAAAATAAATAAGTAAATAGAATACTTTTATAAAAATATCGTACAAGATCTATAAAATATTGGTAAAAGCTTTTTCTAAAGAGTTATACACACTATGTATTAGCATCCACATGCAACACTGTCATTAGTATCTAATGGAGTCATAAATCTTGATACCGCTTTAAAAATTCTCTCAAAAATTGACCTACATTATTTTTTTCCCTCATGATAGTGAAATATTCCCATAAAACAAACAATTCACTGTAATAAGTTTCAAGTAATGATAATAACGATAATAATAAACAATAATAAACTAATAATGATAATAATAATAATAATAATAATAAAAAATAATAATCATAATAATAAAAATTAATAAAAATAATGCACGAAAATAATAAATAATAATAAAAATAACAATAAGTCTCAAAAACGTTTCATTTTATTGAACACCTGCAATTTACTCTACTCTCGACTTGATGACAAAAATGACAATGAATTTCAATTTAATTATTTACCATTGGTCAATTTAATTTTAAAATTCACATTTACTTTTTACAATAATGGATTTGTTTCTATTTTTTTAATGTAAATAAGTAAATAATTTGAATTAAAATTCCATTTCAACAGAACACGGTTCAGATTTTATAATTATATTTTATAAAAATACTTAGGGGAGAAAAAGTGCTCAAATCTGTTGAGACCAATTTCATAAAGAAACGACTTCATGACAATTTAATATCGCACCTACTTTGAATATGAAATTTTTTTCCCTATCAAAGAGACACTTTTTTCACCCACATTTAAGTTGGTTTTCAAAGATGCGATATATACGAATATTCAACTCAACAATATTAGGAAAATTTTTATATTATTATGTACTTAAAATAAAAAAACGATCTTTATTAACTTCTTGTAATTTTTATTTTTCTTTCGCTATTTTTATAAACAAAATTTTTTATCTACTTGCATTATTTTGGAAAAGTAAAATTCATTTTTATTTTTCATTGTCATTTTTGTGCCTGTATAATAATTTTTTATTTCTCTATAATCAATTATTATTCATTTCAATTTTTCGAACTTTCTTAATTATAAATTTCATTTTTTTACTTAAATTTAAATTTTTTTATTTTATTTTTAATTTAAATTTTTTTATTTTAATTTTAATTGTAATTCCTCCTTTGTAAAAAGAAAATCACAAAAGCTTTCATTTACTTTAAATAATAGTGTTAAAAAAATCCCAACTGAAGAATAAATGAATATTTACAATTCAATTCTTTTTCTTTATGGTTATTACAAATGGAATTTGCTTTTTTCCTTTGATTCTTATGACTTTTATCGATTGAAATTCATCCACTGTCTACTTATATACTGAAACTATTCAACCACCCCACCTACAACTCCCCCCCTCCCTATAAACCACAAAGATCCCCTAGAAAACTTCATTACCGGTCTTCCAACAAATCCTTAAACACTTTAGAGATCTTCAATCACATCAGCACTCCCTAAATTCACACTTGTCCCCGATGAATGAAAGAAAGGAAAACAAAATTTTCTCCACTTTTCTTTATGTCAACCTGACGAATAATCCATTTCATCTTTCTTCACAAACCACTGTCAACAATAATAATTCAACAATGTTTCTGCATTTTGTTTCATTTTTCCAAGAAAAGGAGAATTTTTCTTCAAAAAAGAAATTTTTCCTGGGGAAAATTTTTTCTTTAAGGGGAAAAATTTTCTTTTTTTTTAACGGGGACTAATTTTTATATTTTACTAGGGAAAATGTTTCTATTTTTACAAGGGAAAGTTTTAACACCTTTACTAGGAGAAATTTTCCTTTTTACTAGGAGGAGTTTTTCTTTTTCCCTAGGAAAATATTACCTTTTCCACTAGGCAGAATTTTCCTTTCTTACTAGAGACGATTTTTCCTCCGTTTGAATGAAAAATGAAAACAATTTTTCTATTTTGTTAGGGAAAAATTTTGTCTTTCCAAATGGAAACAATTTTCCTGGTTTACTAGAGAAAATTTTCTATTTTTACTAGTGGAAATTTTTTCTCCTTTTACTAGAAAGAAACTTTTCCATTTTTACTCGAAACAATTTTCCTTTTTCACTAAGAAGAAAACTTTTTCTATTTTTTACTAGGGAAAAATTTCATTTTGAATGGAAAAAAAATTTTCTTTTTTACTAGAGAAAATTTGTCTTTCTTTTTACTATAAAAGAAAGTTTTTCATTTTTATTCAAAACAATTTTTCTTTATCACTAGGAAAGCTTTTTTCTGGAAAAAAATTTTCCTTAAACAGATTTCATTCTTTACTAGGGATTGTTTTTCCAATTTTTACAAAGGAAAACTTTTCTTTTTTCAATGAAAACAAATATTTCTTGTTTACTAGGGAAAATTTTTTCGTTTACTAGAAAAGAACTTTTTTATTTTTACTCCAAACAATTTTTCTTTTTTACTAGGGAATCTTTTCGAATTTTTTATTAGGGGAAACTTTTCTTTTTTCAATGAAAACAAATATTTCTTTTTCACTAAGGAAAATTTTTCTGTTTACTAGAGAAGAAACATTTTTCTTTTTACTCGGAATAATTTTTATTTTTCACTAGGGAATCTTTTCGAATTTTTTACAAGGGAAACTTTTCCTTTTTGAATAGAAACAAATATTCCTATTTTACTAGGGAAAATTTTCAAGAAGTTGAAGAAACCTTTTAATTTTTAATCGAAACAATTTTTTTTTTATCACTAGGGAAATTTTTTCCACAGTTTTTATTAGGGGAAACTTTTCCTTTTTCAAAGAAAACAATTTTTCTTTTTTACTAGGGAAAATTTTTCCGTTTACTATAAAGAAACTTATTTATTTTTACTTGACACAATTTTTCTTTTTCACTAAGGAAAACTTTTCTTTTTTCAATAGAAACAAATATTCCTTTTCTACTGGAGAAAATTTTTAAGAAGTTGAAGAAACATTTTCATCTTTAATCGAAACAATTTTTCTTTTATCACTAGGGAAATTGTTTCTATATTTTTTACTAGGGGGACACTTTTCCTTTTTCAAAGAAAACAATTTTTCTTTTTTACTAGGGAAAATTTTTCTGTTTACTATAAAGAAACTTTTTTATATTTACACGAAATAATTTTTCTTTTTCACTAGGGAAACTTTTCCTTTTTCAATAGAAACAAGTATTTCTTTTTTACAAGGGAAAATTTTCAAGAGGTTAAAGAAACATTTTCATTTGTAATCGAAACGATTTTTTTTTATCACTAGGGAAATTTTTTCCACATTTTTTACTAGGGAAAACTTTTCCTTTTTCAAAGAAAACAATTTTTCCTTTTTACTAGGGGAAATTTTTCCGTTTACTAAAAAGAAACTTTTTTATATTTTTCTCGAAACAATTTTTCTTTTTCACTAAGGAATCTTTTCGAATTTTTTACTAGGGAAAACTTTTCCTTTTTGAATAGAAACAAATATTCCTTTTTTATTAGGGAAAATTTTCAAGAAGTTGAAGAAACATTTTTATTTGTACTCGAAACATTTAATCACTAGGGAAATTTTTTCCACATTTTTTACTAGGGTAAACTTTCTCCTTTTTCAAAGAAAACAATTTTCCTTTTTTCCTATAGAAACTTTTTCTTTTTTTTATGAAAAAAATTCTCCTTTTTCACTAGGAAAAATATTTTTTTTACTAGGAAAAAATTTTCCTGCTTTACCAGAAAAAATTTTTTCCATTTTTTCTCTACTAGGAATGAAATATTTACTGTTTATTTCTTTTAAATTCTGTTTATAAAAGTGTATTATCGTTAATGAAACAGGAGTTTATACAGTGATGATCGATTTACATGGAAAAAGCTAACTACGAATCACACACGAACATGTCACGCGCGCTTACACATTTTCCCCTTTCTCGCGATTTCTATTTTAAATACCCTTAAAGGGAGTTGAAAAGCGGAGCATCTCTTCTTCACTTCCTCCCTCGCTTTCTCTCTCTCTCTCTCTCTCTCTTCACTAGAGAAAATACTTCCTGTTTTCACCAACAAAAAAAAAAATCCAAAAAAAAAAACGATAAAAATTTCAATTGTTTCTAATAATAACAATTCTCATTTTTCTCTCTAAATGGATACTTTTCACTTGTGCGAAAAAAGTAGTTCGCGATTATTTTCCTCCTTTTTTTTTTGCACGTACGTGACTGTGTATTTTTTTTGTTCAAATCGTAAGAGACGAATCGCGGGAAATTAAGGGGATGAGTTATCCCGGGGCGCCTGGACGAAAGCGTTGGGAAGATCGAGTACGTCGGCCGTATTGCCTACAGCCCAGGCGAGCCGAGACTGAGGCGCCTTGTATATGAAGCACTCGTTCCGGAGACGCATGCGCCCCTTAAACATCATTGCAATCCGCTCGGTAGAAACACCACTCGCACGTATATATACGATGAGAAATTAATTGTTTCTCCCTTGCAAGCACCCCCAACAGTGAAAAGAGAGTAGAAGAGAGACACACTCTATATATTTCCCTTCTTCATATATAAGCTGAGACGTTATATTTATCTTTAAGGGCATACACTCTTTTTTTTTTCTTACTCGCAAGTGATAAAAAAAAGCAGTTGACTGGTTTATATATATTATATGATAACAGGGGGTCAAATAAAATGAAAACGTAATGTAAACAATATATAGATTTCCACACGGAAAAAAATGTTTACCTGGAGAACAGCGATAAGTTTCTCTAAAATAGCGAAAGTCTTAACTGAAACAACTAAAAATTTGGCTAACCCAGTGAAATTTATAGCTGTTCCAGGTGAATATTTTTTTCCGTGCACTAAATAGGGACAAATTTTATTTTTTTTTTTCCTTTCCTATATTAGAGAGGAATATTTCATTGATATTCCTGAAATATTTCATTACAACTTTGGAAAAATAACATCCACATTTTAGGCATATATGAAAATGTTTTTTGAAGAGCTCGGAATATTCTATGACCATTCCTAGAATACTAGCAACAATTCGCGTGCGGATAACTTTTTATTTACCTTTTTTTAAAAATAAAATTAGAAATTTTAAAAATAATAGAACGTAAAAATTTTTAATTCAAATTTATTTTCATAAAAATAAAATATGAATTGGAATATAATTTTAATATTATTATAACTATAATATCATATATTCTGACACAGGGAATTCAGGGAAAAGTTAGGGATTTTTATTAAAAGTATTAAAAAAAATTAAATTTTTAGAATTCATAAGAAAATTCTGAATTTTTGTATCTTTTTTATTTGACTCATAAACTAAATTACCACGAATTCTAATATAAAACCTATTTTTTCAATTTCTGATAAAAATTTCTTTTTAAATAACTTAAATCTTGAACAACTATCATAAAATAAATAAATTATTTAATGAATAATTTTACTTAAATATTTCAAAATTAATTCAATTTTAAAAGAGTTGCGTTTATAATTTTCATAAATAAGTGACCTTCAAACACTTTGAATTTGAAATTTTATAAAATTTCAATTTTAAATGAATTAGAAATTAAAGAACTTAAATTTTTGAAAAATTATTAATAATTCAAAATCTTTTAAAATTAGCTAAATTTGTCATGTATTTAATTAATTATTAAAAATAATGGACTTATAGAAAAATTTTAGTTAAAACCCCAAAAAAAAAAATTTATTTTTGGATAAGATAGAAATGATTGCAGAAAATTAATTATTTTCAAAAGTTATAAAATTCGGCCCAAAAATTCAATTATGTTCAAAAATTTAAAAAAAATTGACGTCAAAATGTCAATAATCTTTATAAATAATAAAATTCTTCTTCGAAATTCAATTATTTTCAAAAAATTTTAATAAAATTCTTGGCAAAATTTCAATTATTTTCAAAAATTTTTCTGAACTTAATGTTCAAAGAATTGAAAAATTAAAAATCATCAATGATTTTCAAAACAACTAAAATTATTCTTAGAAATTTAAATATTTTCCAAAAGTTTAACAAAAAAATTTCGGCAAAAGTTTCAATTATTTTCAAATATAAATTTTTTCAAATTCAATGATTTTTAATATCAACTATTTTAATAAAATTTTGCAAAAAAGAGTTATTTTTAAATAATAGAGTTCTATTATTTAAAAAAAATTTTGATAATATTCTACGCAAACATTTTATTATTTTCATAAATAATAAAAATTTCACAAGAATTCAAATGTTTACAAAATTTTTTATAAATTTCTCCGCAATAATTCAATGATTTTCAAAACTACTAAAATTCTTCTTAGAAATTCAATTATTTTTCAAAAGTTTAATAAAATTCTTGGCAAAGTTTCAATTATTTTCAAAAATTTTCCTCATTTCAATAATTTTCAATATTCTACTATTTTAATAAAATTTCCCAAAAAAATTCAATTATTTAAAAACAATTTAAACAAAGTTCTACACGAATATTCAATTATTTTCTAAAATAATGAAAATTTCGCAGGAATTCAATTATTAAAAATACAATTTGCATTTTTTTCGAAAAAAAACCAATTATTTGAAACTTTTTTTTATAAAATTCTTCGCAATAATTTAATTATTTTCATAAATAATAAAACTCATCGCAGAATTTCAATTATTTTTTAATACAATTTTAATCGAATTTATTAAAAAAAGTAACTATTCTTAAAAATCTTATTCAAATTCGTCAAAAGAATTCAATTATTTAAAAATTTGGTAATAAAATTCTTTTTAAGAATTCAATTTTAAGAAACATTCACTATTTCAATAAATAATTTACTTTTGTATTTAAATAATTAAATTCTCATAGAATTTTCTAATAAAAATCGATTTAAAAATGATTTTCAGTTAAAATTTTAGATAATAATTGAATATGAAAATAATTTTGAAGAAGTTCTAGTAACAATATTTTTATAATATAAAATAATTATTTTATCTGCAGAACATCTTTAATTATAATAAAAAAATGAAGAACTCTATCACTCCGAGTCGAAGACTCGTAGTAATCGATATCTTCATGTTTTATAACAATATTTTTAAAGTTGTTTAAATTAAAAAAAAGTTTGAATTTGAAATTTTTGAAAATCTTAATTCCTATGGAAAAATAATAATAATTAAATATTTTATTTAAAAAAGAAGTTATTAATGTTTTTGAATAGTTTTCCAATTAAAGAAATTCGTAAATAAATGTAGGAGAACTGTTTTTTTGAGTAATATTATTTTCTTTATTTTATAAAAATTAAAAAATTTTCAATTTCATTTTCAGTTAAAATTTGTAATTGACAAATAGAATTAATAAACATTTTTTTCCTTTATTTTTGAAAAACTTTGAATTTTATTAAAACAAATTGTAATTAAGAAATAGAAAATGATGAGCTTTATTTCCTTAAGAAAATTGAAAATTTTCTACAAAAAGATTAAGGTGTACGAGAATATGTAATGTTTTTTTCCTAAAATAAAAGAATTAGTTTGTGAACAATATTGTTACTGAGAAATAAAAATTATGCATAAAATGGGTATTTATTTCTTATTTCTCAATCATAATTTTTTAACATAACAATTTTTTTGTAAATATATTTTTTTTAAATACATTTGTTTTAAATATGTTTTTTTTAAATATATATTTTTTTTAAATATATTTTTTTTAAATACCCATCAATTATTTTTCTAAGTACCCACCACGCAAGGTGTAAATAATTTCCACTCTAAAAAGTATAGTTAAGAGGTGTTAACACACCACGCGATAAAAATTTTAAATATTTGATAATCCAGTAAATTTTTTATTTTCATCTAAAATTTAGGCCAAATGTGGAATACAAGATATTCCCCTAGGGCAAGATTTGCGCCCCTCTTTATGTATATACATATACATATATATATATATATATATATATATTAAGAGTGTTATATAGCCCTTTTTCAAACTACGTGTGTGAACAAAAAATTTACCGTTGATTCGTCTAAGGGGATAAAAAAAAGTGTTGCCTTAAGTTTATTAATGACTCGGTGCAAAATTAAATAAATTTATAAGCAAAAAATTTCCACATTAATCTTCTTCTACAATGCAAAAACTTAGTAATTTTTTTGATCCTAAAATCAAATTTTTTATATTTTAAAAAATAAGGAGAAAAAAATTTTTTAATTTTATAATATATAAAATTTTTTAAAAATTCCTATTTTTAACATTTTAGAATTTATTAGTAATTAGGGTCAAAGGGTAAGTTCCGTTTATATATTGAAATAAATAAATTATCAAAATATTCATTTGCCACTTTGAAAAAATTATATTCAAAGGAAAATGAACATTATGATAATTTATCAGAATTTTATCGTTATATTTACATACGTTTTAACATATCACTTCATCCTTTGTATAGTGTATATTTTTTTTAGATAATTCAAAATTGAAGGCAGGTACTTACATAACTAATTATCTTAACTTTGTTGAGTCTTGGTAATGGGGGAAAAGCACCCTTATTCAATTACCTTAGCATATAATGACCTTAAAATACCTAAGGCATACATATACTTTAGAACTTGAATCTAAAATTAATTAGGTCTCTGTAATTAATCACCTCTTGCCCTAAAATTCTTCGTTCTTTCCTTCTTCATATGAAATGTTTAATCTTTATTTCTTTTTCTTTTTTTCTTTTTTAATATTCTTTTCACGTGAATATAAATATTATAAATGACAGTATTATAAATATTGATGATTCATTAATAAAAGTAATAATAAATGAATACAGAAAGTATTTTTATTATACAGAAAGTATAATAAAAAATGAATAAAGTAACAATAAACAGTTAATAATGCAATGAGGAGTGAATAAAGTAGTAAACAGTTAATAAAGCAATAAAAAGCGAATAAAGTAATAAACAGTTAATAAAGCAATAAAGAGTAAACAAAGTAATAAAGAGTAAATAAAGTAATAAACAGAAAATAAAGTAATAAAAATAATTAAAGTAATAAAAAATGAGTTTGTAAAGAAATGAAGAAAAGAAATATTGGAAATATAAAGAAATAAATAATTTTATTATAAGAGTATAAAGTAATAAAAAGAATGTATAATTACAAGAGAAGAAAGTAAAAGAATATAATTATAAGAATATAAAGTATTAACAAAAATATATATGAAAATCATTTTAGTAATAATTTGTTCCTTTTTTTTATCAATCTCGTATTTTTTATCCATTTAAATACTTTTGGTAGCAATTTAAAATTTTTTATCCAATTTTGGATATTTTTTTTTTTTTTGGTATAAAAAATTTTTTTGTCAATTTTAATAAATTTTGTATAAATTTTATTTTTTTTGGTATCAATAAG